TTTTTTTTTTTTGGAGACAGAGCCTCAAGCTGTTGCCCTCAGTAGAGTGCTATGCCATCACAACTCACAGCAACCTCAACTCCTGGGCTTAAGCAATTCTCCTGTCTCCACCTACCAAGTAGCCGGGAATACAGGCGCTCTCCACAACACCCGGCTATTTTTTGTATTTTTTTTTTTTTTTGGTTGCAGCTGTCTTTGTTGTTTGGCAGGCCCAGGCTGGATTTGAACCCGCCAAGCTCAAGTGTATATGGCACCTTAGCCGCTTGAGCCACAGGCACTGAGCCTTCACTTTTATTTCACGTGCAGTTTGCAAAGGGTATGAGCATCATCATGGTGACATGGTTGTAGCCCTACAAATAGCAAATGGTAATTTCCTTCTATTGAAACTCTTAATTAGTTGCTTTCACTATTTCTGAATATACCTGTGGCTAAATTTGTACTGAAACACTCAGTAGTACCACTTCTCAGTCTGAACACAATTGCCAGGAGTCTAATTTGGTTCTGGACTTCAGTCAACCTCTGTGCCTTCTTAGTTCTCTCCGGCAGTTGGTGAGTAAGAAAATGACCCTTTAGTTTCCTCTTTTTTTCCCCCTCTTACCTGTAAGGTGACTTAATTTTTATAAATGTTTCCAAGTCATCGATATTTTTCCAAGGGCTCAATATTTTATGAATTTTACCAAGGGTGTGTAAAGAGTGAGAGGGTCTATGATTTTTTTCAGACTTTGAAAATTCATTTTGATTGTACACATTCCAGAAATATATTACATTGGACTCTAGTGAAGAAAGCCTTCCAGCCAGTTCTCCTAATCCATTCATTCATCCATTCATTCATTCTTTCAATAAACAGCTATTGAGTGCTTGCTTCTTAGGGTGTCAGGCTCTAGGCTGTGTGCTGAGGGAACACAGAGATATAGTGGACAAGATCTCAATCTTCCCCTCCCTACCCCCACGACACCCCCTACTATCCAACCTCACCAGAGCAAGGAACTTAGTGCTAATAAAGGAGAACTTTACCTGAATGACAGTCGCCCAGAGTACACAGTGAAAACAGTAATGCAATGCAAGAGGTTAAGTTTTTAAAGGTGATTTTGTACAATGAAGTATAAACAAAAATATAAATAGTCTGGCTACAGTATAACCACTATTAGCATCTCTTTGGAGTTACACAGCTAAAAAGAATAAAACCACCAAAATAAAGAAAATTTCTGCAGAATAGGGGCCAATATTATGGCCTAAAGATAGCTATATGCTTGTGCTATCTAAAGATCTGCTCTGTTAAGATGACTACCAAGATTGTAAATACAAATTCACAAATGTACTTACATTTTCTATAATATCCATGTTTTAGAGGCAATATTTACTTTATAGTTCAGTGGCTTAAAAGATAATATTTTGGCTTAAGTGTCTTTTACCAATACAAAGAGAAGACACTTACCTTAATCCTGATAGGGAAAATTAAGTATTGTATATAGGTATACTTTGCTTCTCACAATGGTTGTACAAAAAAGTCACATTCAAATTGAAGTTTCATAAGTCAAATTGTACTTTAAATGCATTAGAGAAGCTGCCATTTAGAGGAAACTTGTGTATCCTTTTATAAAGCAAAAAAATCATTTTAAAATCATTCTCTAATTCATGTGTTTTGTATATTTGGATTTTCAATATCAGCTTTACTCCAAATGGAGCCCATCTGCATAATAAATATGTTTTGCCAAGGCTGCTTGTGCTACAAGTTTCTTGGTTGCTAAGGTCTCAGGCTTAAAAGATTTTACAGTTTGGTGTGAATTGAGCTATCTAGTGATTCTGTGATGGCACAGTATTCCTCAATGCTGAGGAAATGGTCTGAGTAGTCAGCCCATTTCAACTCGGTTGAACACAGGACTTTTCTGCTCAATAGTGTCTCCTCTCTCAGATGTGGCCATGTTTCAGTAGAGGGTAGAGCGACTCCTGTATTCATATTCTATGAAGTTGTTAGAATCACAGGTTTCATAATAAATGTTATTATGTAAATATATTAAACTGCATGAGTACTGGAATTTTTTAGCAGTATTTTAGCTTGAAATTACTTGTACAAATACTGTTAGATTTAGTTGCAAATAATTGTTCTCAAGTTATTAGAATAAATGGCAAATGAAACAAGCTCTCGTGTAAATAGACTTCTGTGCCAAATAGTGACTTTTTTTTCAAAAAATAAATGTCATATTTTAAGCTGTTAATAGACAAAATGAAATCTTGAAATGTGATCAAATGATATTGTGTTTTATTGGCTAAACTGTTTACACAGTTATTTTCTGCTGTAGTTAGCGTTCAGTTAATAAATAAATATTCTCTAAAACAAATATTTAAATTAGTTAGAAAAATTCTTTAAAATCTGAAAAGGAATTAAGACAAAATACCGTGGGAAGCGTCCTCTCATCTTGACATGCTTACGAATAAGGTTTTGGTTCTTTATACCATGTATGATTACAGTTTACATGTTAAAGGTAAAATGAGCTTTTGAAAAATACATATTAATACTTTTCCACAAATATCTATTAGTACCAGACTTAAATAATTACAAGTAACCAACCACAAAAACAATCAAACAGAGATGTCTATTGATTCTCCTCTATCCCTGCCATACACACATCCACACCAGAACAAATTATTTTTATTA